TGTCCTAGGGTTTTGACCCTTTTTATCAAATAAAGCATATTTTTTGTTATTTTTGAATTAAGAATTTAAGTCTAAATTAATAATTGAATTAATTAATTACATGAAAATATTTTTGGGTTTTTATTTTAATTAAGGAAATAAAATTAGAAAGGTAAAAATATATCAAAAACCTAATTCTAAATCAATGTTAATTTATTGCAAAATATATTAATGTTAACCTATTTAAACTAAATAAAATTAATTAATTGTTTATTTACAAAATTAAATAATAAAGTTAATGGAATTAATAAAAATATTTTTGTTGTTTTCTGATTTTTTTATAAAAAATTAATGGGTTAATTAATTAATTAAGGTAATGATAATAATAAAATAGAAAAAAACAATGAAAAGAAATAAAATATAAACAAACTCAGGGGGGGGGGGTGTTGGGCCTGAAAAGGGAGTGAATCAGCAATATTTTTTGGCCCATTTTCGTCCCAGCCTGTTTGACTTTCTGAATTGCCCACATGCTTGTTTACTGGAGACCATGGTAGTCCTCCATCCTGGGCCACTGGATTTGATTGGAAAGCCATCTGGCGTTTGATATTTGGCAGAGCATGATGGTCCACTCTTTGAATGTCACATGGGAATACCTGAAGAACAAAATTAAATAAAGTTTTGGGGGACCTGGGATTCGAACCCAGGTCCCAAGGGACAACTCAACTAACGCGCTACCAACCCAACTGACCTGCTTAGTTGTTAGAACGATAAGAAACAAATATTATATTGACAAATATTTACATGCCTGGAAAAATAAAAAAAAATTCGCGAAATTTGAACTGGCCGGTTAGGAGAGGACGCGTGGTCGTCTTCTTCACAAACCCCTGGTTATTTACCTGTGGATTTTTATCCGTAGGAAGTTTCGTAAGGTATCTCAAAAACCCTCTCCAAGCCATGTAAATGAAATCCAAGAGTACCAACGTACTCGTCTCTTCCTCCTGGTCATCCCTGTACCAATTACTAACCTTAATTTAACCTGCATAAGAAACGCCTAAAAACAAGAACAAGAACCCTAGGTTCTGGATATGGGGTTAGAGGCCATAAAAATACAATCAAATATTACAGAATCAATGGAAATTGAATGGTGAATATGAATGTACAAGAAAATAGGCAAGAGAACGCAAGAAAAGGATTTCACGATACCATGTCCAGAGCAATGTTCGTGGAGACTTACAATGAGTTTTAGGTGATGAAAAGGCTTCCTTTTGATTGGTATAGCTCCACTGGATGTCAAGGAAGAGAGCTACGTTTTGTTTTTGGTCTGAATTGGCCTCCACGGTTGTTTTTGATCTCTCACTTTTCAAGCTTTTTTACCAATTTGCTCTGGCCGTTTCAACAGTATTTTGTGCGTCCTCTAGGTCTGGCTAGCTTGTGTGAGTGTTATAGAGTGAATTAGGGTTGGTCTTTTGGTCTCAAATCAAATGCATTGAAGATTCAAGATTGGATTTCGATCACCATAACCAAGCTTCCAAAAATAGGCCAAATCTGAGTTTTTGTGCTTGTTTTGACTTGATACGAATTGACTAGGTGTTACATGGTATTTGCAAGTTGTACAAATCACAAGAATCCCTTTACATAAATTTTTTTAGATTTTATTTGATTTAATATTGATTAATAATGAATTAAATCAATAAAAATGAAATAAAATAGAAAAATAAATGTTTGGTCATGAAATTAAAGATGGGACACGTGTGTGGCATGACAAGACCAAATCAAGTGGAAACAAGTGGTCCCTTTTGTCAAAAATTGGAGTTTTGAGGATAGTTGACTTTTGGCAATTTTGGAAAAATGCCCAACTTCAACAATGCATAACTTCTTCAATTTTGAACTTTTGGAGGTGTTCTTTGACTTTTTTGAAACCTTGAGATGTCCTCTAATCAACCCTTTTGGTCGTATCTCATTTTTATGTTCCATGCTCAAGTTATAAGCTTTGGAAAAAAGGTGTTTTTGTTGACTTTCAAAAATGACCTATAATGTCGAAATTAGTAACTTTTTGTGAGAGCATTTCTTGATCTTGGGGTGTGAAGATGGATTGTAGGAAGTTGCATCCTCTTCAAAATGAGATTTGTATGGGTCATTTCTCATAAATAATTAGAAAGTTATGCTTGGTCAAAGTTGAGTTGACTTTTCCTAAAAAACCCTAATTTAGCAACTTTTGAATCTTGATGAATCTTGAGCAATCCTTGATGAATCATGATAAACCCTTGATAAAATGATGAATTATCCTTCAAAATGAGAATGTTGACAAAAAATCTTGAGGTTTGACTGTATTTAAGGCACAGTTGACTTTTGCCCTAATATAGTCAATTTTTGGGTCTCTTGAGCATTTGACTGACCAAACTTCCTCTGCAAGGCTTGAAATTTGTCATGGATGAACTTAAGAACATATTAGGACATTGGGGAGCACTTGAGGCCATTTGTATGTGAGGACCTTGATGCAACACAAAACCCTAATTTTGACTTGACTGCCTTAGGAGGTGACTTGACTGTCCAAACCTAGAGCCAACTTGAGCAACTTGAAGATTATTCTTGGCAAATCTTGAGGAATATGGGAGGGAAAATTTTGGGGTACAACAATATCTTTGGAAGATAGCAAGCGGCGATCTCTTCATGAGCAGCTTGTGTTATAGATATCTTTGGAAAACAACAAGTGGCGATCTCTTCATGAGCAACTTGTGTGTTATGGATATCTTTGGAAGACAGCAAGCGACAGTCTCTTAAAGAGCAGCTTGTGTGTTATAGATATATTTGGAAAACAACAAGTGGCGGTATCTTCATGAGCTGCTTGTGTGTTATAGATATCTTTGGAAGATAGCAAGCAGCGGTCTCTTTATGAGCAACTTGTATGTTATAGATATCTTTGGAATAGAGCAGGCAGTGGACTCTTCATGAGCAGCTTGTGTGTTATAGATATCCTTTGAAGATAGAAAGCAACAACCTCTTTATTTGAGCAGCTTGTGTGTCTATTAATATCCTTTGAAGACAGCAAGTGGCAGCCTCTTTATTTGAGCAACTTGTGTGTTTATTAATATCCTTTGAAGACAGCAAGTGGCATCCTCTTTATTTGAGCAGCTTGTGTATCCATAATATGTTATTTCAGCAGCAAATGGTATCTCTCTAGAAAAGTCCCGCAGAAAAGTTTGTTATGAAATCTCTACCTTCAGTAAAAATCGGTAGTTCACTATCAGTAAAAGTTGGTGTATCTTTTTGTCTACCTTTGACCTTGAGTTGTAAACTCACCATCTTGAGTCAGTAGCCATCTATTTTGCAGCCTATGCAAGGTGTTTCCTTTGTTAGAGTCAGAAAGTTGCTTTCTCTCGAATTTATTCCCCGATAAGAGTCTATCATTCGAAGTCTGTTGCTCTATTTCTCCAGTAGAGTATAATCTCTTCCCCTGTGGATTATTTTATCATGTGCTTAGTTTCTCCAGCATTAGCTTGTCTCATGCGGCATTATTCCCCATAAGATTCAAATATTATATTCATATCATAAACACAATGGCGGTATCTTAGGGCCAAGAATTGTGTATTATGTATTTAAGTCCCTTCAATCTCGTCGAGACGAAGATTTCAATATTCATATCTCATGATAGAAGAAACTTAAGTAGGGGCAGCTGTCATGCCGCAATTTTTGACCTAAGATCCCATCTTCATTTGAATTTTTTGTTATATACATCAAGGCCACGAAATATGGTCGATTTTGGACGTTTCACCTTCGAGCATTGTATGTGCATATATTATCGAGTATTGTGAGCATTTTCTTATGCATGACTAACTTCTAATAAAGCACGAAGTGTGTGTTTTTTTTGTTTCTTTGATTTCATGTGCAGAAACAGGTATGAATCAAGAGCATCAGACGCCGTGCCTCAATTAGGGTTTTAAGTATCAAGCCAGAAGTACAGTTGATCATTGATTCTCAAAGACTGATTCGTCAAGGGAACTTTCAGATAATCGTGTGTTTATTTCCATGCTTTGTTTTAACAAGTGGCGTCAAGCATCTCCTAAATTCTTCATAAGATACAATCAAGGTTCCATGATCACTGGTTTACATGTGTTTCACCTTGCCTTGAAATACAAGAAAAGAAAAGGCTATGCGAGTCAATTCAAAACACTTCGACCAAAAGTCTTATGCAAGTTTTTTTAAAGTTAAAGACGAATTGTGTTTAGAAAGCCACGAAAAGCCTTTATGGCATGTCTGCCATGATTTAAGAGTTTCTAGATCTCTAAGTTCAGTTCACTATGCCAATTTCTTAATGCGATAACATTTCCCCTTAAATCCCTCTTCTAGTGATCATTCGAAGCTTTTAAGCATGGTTCGGTTTCTTATATTTACATGACGCGGGGTGAATTTCGTTAGAGTGAGGTGATTAAATTCAAGATCACTATGGACGAATTTATTTATAATACTTGGAGTTTTCATCATGTGAATTCAAGTATTAACTAAATAGAAGTTATTAAAAGGGCTCATTCAAGAATAATCGTTCATCACATTTATTCAAGATTATTTTTGTGTGATTATTTTGATGGATTCACACCATGGCCATTTGAATTCACATGAAGCATGTATTAAAGCTGATATTGGAAAAATAAACTTGATTCAAATAATCATTCATCACAAGAATAAATACATGATGGTTACAACTTCATTACAAGATCAATTCATGTAAATTATTTGGATCTCTAATACAAGATGCAAGATTGAGGTGTTAAGGCTTGCATCATTATTTATTCATCATTCAACAATTCATTCAAATATCAATTAATTCTTTTCCAAATTCAAATGGAAGATTTTGAATTTCATCAATATAAATATCAAGATTCAGAGTTTCAAATATAAGGATTCAAAATGTTTTCAACCACAAAGAATTGAGAAATTACATTTAAGACAAGTTCCTATTTATGTTACATAAGAATTAAATTCTAGGCCTATTAATATTAATTCCAAGGCTTCAAATCTTGCTCCTAATTCTGCCCCAAATTGTTGTAAATCATCCCAACAGCAGTTGCACATACAACCCATTTTCCAGCCTTATAACAACAACCTATAACAGTCCCAAATGCTGCCAGAAAATGCTGAAAACAATCCCAAATGCTGCCAAAAAACAGCAGCTTGTATCAGTCCAAAACCTGCTGAAAACTGCTATAAATTAGCATAAACCAGTTGGCTACAGCCTGCTGCCCTGCATCATAACAGCCCAGAAATTGCATCAATATGGCTAAAGAAAAACTGCATGAAGAAGGCATCAAAATAGTTTGTTAAAACAGTTCAAATATCCTACTGTTTTACCCCCTAAATGCCTTGTTATTTCTCTATAAAAGCCCTCTTCATGGATAGAAAATTACTCAAAAAAACTCAAGTAGAGGAACAACAAGAAAAAACTAACCAAGAAAAAAAACAGAAAAGGAGTGTTTTTTCAAGCATCATAGTAAGAACTAGAGCTACAGAAGTTTGAGCATCAACAAGAGAGGGAGGGATAACTTACTGTTTTTAAAGCTCCATCGGAGAGACTCCGATAGGTATTTCTTCTTCCATTTTTACTTCTGCATAACTTTCTATATATCCATGTTTGAATCTTCTTCTTCACCACTTTTATGCCATACTATCGCTTTATTTATCCCTTTGCTGTATTTTTAAGTTGCTGCAATATGCTGATATGTAGAAATTGTTTAGAAATAATAATAATAATTGCGGACAGAAATACATAGTAAATGACACAAAAATTCATAGAGATGAAAAAATACCTCCAATTTTCTTTTTCTAAGTACCAAAATATCATACAATCTCCAATCTTATTTCCCAAAGCTCCAAGTTCTGCTTTTTCCTTTAACCTAGCCAGTTAATTAAAAACAACACTGATAATTTAGATTCGATGGATTCGAATAATTGGATGCCTAATCCGGGTTCTAAACCCACTCTAGACTCTGTTGATTGGAGAATTTAACTGCATCCTGGATCCCGCCAAAGAATTGTCAACAAAATAATGGACATATTAAAAAAAATCTTCCTGTATCTGGGAATGAGGGATTACTTGAACTTCGGAAGATTTCTCAAAGGTTTGAAGATAAGATTTATGATGTTTCCACAAGCCAGGTTGATTATCTCCAGAAGATTTCGATGAAAATACTCATGGCAAAAACTTTATGATACCTATTTTATCTCAGTTACCTGATCATCAAAACCAGAGAGAATCTGTCAGCATTTCAAACGAAAAACTGAACTTAGATGACACACCTGATACTGCTCATCTCGTACCGATCCATCACACACGCTCTTTCTTCACGTCAATTTCTTGTAACCGCCAAAACCCAACTCACATCATAGCTTTCACCGTCTTCCTCCCTTCTCCAACCATTCGACAATAACACCCACTTCCTCTCTCAACCTGTACTGGTTCCACGCCTTTGTTCTCCCTGCCGCACGACACCACAAATTGTATCTTCATGTGAGCTACAACTTGGAGATTATGAACCAGTTCACATGGACACAGAGAACTATCAAATTGAGCATGAAAATAACACAAGAAAAGCATAAATTGTTAGAGGAAAGAGTACCTTAATATTTTAGACATTGAGTTGAGTAGGAATCAGGCGTAACTCATTGTCATGAAATTTTGATCCTACTTTATGCCGAATCGATACAAGCGGAAACTCACAAATCTGAAACCTCTATGCACCTTCCAAAAAACCCAAACCACCGTAACTTCCATAGACCTCACCTCCATAGATATATCACAAAACACTATCTCCTCCTCTTTCTCCAACTTTTCCCTTCTCTCATCATTGCTCTTCATTCTTCTACTCAACTCAACCAACTCCAAACTACTTTCCTTCATCGATTTCCCTCAACCAAACAGGACAAAAGTGGTATTTGTAGTTGATCCTGATGGTGTTGAATACTCAAAAACATCTTCTGCCTCCATAAGTTTTACAAGATCATTATTTACATCCCTGGTAATACATCGATCAGATCTACAGTCCCATTAGCAGGGGAAACAACAATTTCAACCAAAAGAAATACAACACAAAAATCACCAATCCCAACAGACCCAATTGTTCTCCCTTCTGTTCCGCAAGCACCATCATCTTCAATTTGTACCCCTATGTTTCGTGAATCCGTCAAGCATATCCCCTTGGCGTCTGTGTTCAACAACCCATCACTGATTCGCCTTCCATAGGACCTAATCCGAACCACAAAACCCTAACTACTTCTCTATCGAAAGAAAGTCATAACCCTAACATCAAGCTCACACAGAGAAGAAAACATAAACGATTCCAGCATCCAAGCTTTTGCACCGTTCGATAATGGCCACCATACCTGTTAATCCCAAGCCTTTTTTAGAACAATTTGATTGGGAAGCATGTTATTGTGAAACTCAAATGGGGAATGGAGTGCAAAGGTTATCTTGTTTCTGTTGATTCTTATATGAACTTGCAGTTGGCCAACACTGAAGAGTATTGAAGGAAATTTTACTGGGAATTTAGGAGAGATTTTAATCAGATGTAACAATGTTCTCTATCTTTGTGGAGTACCAGAGGATGAAGAAATTGAAGATGGAGCTGTAAGAAAGAGCAGGGAGAGAGAGAGGGAGTAGTCGTTTTAGAGAGAGAGAGAGGGTCGTGTCTTTTTTTTTGTTTCAATAATTTCCCTATAAATTGACTTTTATTGAAAATGATAATGATTAATTAATGGTTGTATTTACCTTCCCAATAACAGCAGAATCTGGCGCCTCTCTCTTGACATTCTAGGGTTTTCAAATTACTTCTTTGCCTCTTCCCCCAAACCGGGTCAGCCCATTGGGTCTTTTGGCCCAATCCCACGATTATCAATATTCACCCTTTTGTTTTAATTAGAACATAGTAATAATAGATAAATAGCTTAGTTCAGTTGGTAAAGCACCTCACTAACAACCAAGGAGTCTCGAGTTCAACCCTTGCTTGGGTATTTTATTTTGTTTTTAGTTCATTTAGCTATTATTTCCCATTTTTATTAAATATATGATAATAAAATATTAGTTAGTTTATTACATATAATTTTTTCATGCCATTATAAAATATAAAAACATTATAATCTAGTCTTTTATTTAATTTTTGTTATTTATTTAATTGTTCAAAATACATGCGATTATAATTTAGTCTTTATTTAATTTTTGTTATAATATTTAATTGTTTAAAAATACATGCTTATAAATTAATCTCTTATTGAATTTTTGTTATTATTCAATTGTAATTTTAATTAACTTTATTCTTGATCATTTAATCTTTGTATCTTTCGTCTGTCTAAATTCCAAGGGAAATGTTTTTACTTTGTTGACTTCATGTCATCAAATATATTTGTTACGATTGTGTGAATCCCTTCATTCATTTTGATTTTACTCTTTTGCTAAACTTAAGTTAATTTTCCTAAAAGACTCAATTTTAAAACTTACACCTTTTAAGTCAAAACTTCGAAATTAGGTTGTCGCATCTTCAAAATCTCGTCCACACCCATTTTTTCCAAACAAATCATTTTAACCAAACAAACAAATTTTAAAAACAGATATTACAAAAGGTTCCTGCGGAGTACCACAGATGCATTGGGTGCTAATACCTTCCTGTTGTAACCCAAAATTTTCTCTCCCATTTTTACTCAACATATGATCATTGAGATCCTCAACTTGCTCAAGGATGCCCAAGAGTTGACCAGACAAACTCTCTCCTAAAGCAATGAACCTCCAACTAGGGTTTCCATTTTCATCAAGATGGGTGAGATTAAAAGGCCTCATATGCTCTCCATAGACCTAATATGTCCTCAATATCATCCATAGCAAGTTTCATGCCTTGCACTACATGTTTGCTCAGTCAACTGCTCAAATGCCTGAAGATCAACTATACTAGGTCAAAAGTCAACTATGGCCCAAATACAGTCAAACTTCAAGATTTTTGTTAAACATCAACATTTTCAAGTGATATCCATCATTTGATCAAGGGTTGATCATGATTCCTCAAGAAATGCTCCTAATTCATCAAAAGTCAAAAATGGCAAATTAGGGTTTCTATAGGAAAAGTCAACTAAACTTTGACCAGGCATAACTTTCTCATAATTTATCAGAAAGTTTTCCCCAAAGCTCATATTGAAGAGAATCCCATTCCCTACAACTTGTCTTCAGCCCACAATTTCAATAGATACAAGCTCATACATTATAGGTCATTTTCAGAAAGTCAACAAAAGCCACTTTTTGCCAAGACCTTTTACATCAAGATAGTATCTTCAAATGCAAAATTGATAAAAAAGAGGGATTGAAGTAGACATATTGGTATTTCCAAAAAGTCCAAGATCATCATCATGAGATAAAAGTTGAGCAAGTTATGGCTTGCCCAAGTTGGGAAAATTTTGGAAATTTCAAGAATGGTGCATTGAGCAAATTTGAATTTTTGAGTCAATGGCCTAACTTTTTAAAGTTCAAACATCTTCCTAAGCTTATAGAGGACCCCTAATTTCATTCTCACCTTGCCTTGCTTTTTTTAAGCTATTTTATTCATATTTATTTTGATTTTATTCACGAAAATACAAAATAAATTATATAAAATAATTAATGGTGGATCATGACAATTGGGCTTGTGTTTTGATTCAGCTTCAGGCCCATTTTTCGTGCACAAATGACCAGGTTCATTCAAGCAAGGATAAGGCAAGTTTTGGAAAATTTGGAAGGCTTTGAATTTGTTGGAAAACATGAGTTATGGCCATGATCTTTTCCATTCAATTGTGTCTCCTTACTCCATACTATATATACAACATGCTAGCAAGCCTAACTCACGCCTATATCCTGGAGAACCCTTGCCACTTTGCAAAAAAAAAATCACAAATTTTTCCAACTCGAGATTCAATTTCCATCCTCCATTACTCCAAACCAAGGTTTCTAGTCCACTCCTGGAAGCTCCTTGAATATATTCCAACCATTTTCGAGCCTTGAAACGCACCAGAACACAGTAACCAAGTCACACGGTTTGCATCTTTTTCCCATTTTAGTTTGTTTAATTCATGCACTATAAACACATTCTAATCATGCATTACTGACCATGCTTGTATTTGTAAGCTATTTGTGTGGTTTGATTTGATGTTTGGCGGAGGGATTGAATATCACCATTGTTAGGGTTCCAAGCTTAAAGTTGGGATTTCTGGATTTAGCCAAAATTAGGTCTAACCAAGGGTCTCGTGGTGCTCAGGAGGTTGAGGATAACTCATCCATGGCCTTACCATGAATTTATTATGCGTGTTGTTATTGTTTTGAATGCAGGGTTTTTAGTAATGGATAAAAAACTGTCACTATAGGTACATTGATCTAAAATGACGGACAAAGGTGGAAGATAATTGTGTGGCAGCCTCCCAATGGCTCGTTTGAATCAGTGCGCCATTTTTTGTTTCTATAATATTGACCTTTTTTTATATATTATTATTGAATGATTTCATACAACGAATGACCATCCAGCTCCGTTGGTAGAAAAGCACTTTGTGAAGGGAAGGGACTTAGGTTCGAGTCCCAGGTCCATCATTTTATTTTTCTAACAATTGTTGATTGCAGCTCCAGTGTATACTAGCTACGTAAGCCCAGTGTATGCTTCCAGATCATAGCCATCAGATATTGGTCAATCTGGATCAAGAGCCTTCAAACGTGCAAGCACACCATATGCCCTCAATTGAGGTTGTTCCTCACTGAATCAAGTCAGCTGATGGGCTTCTCCTAAATGGGCTAAATGTTTTCAGCAAACACACCCCCCATTTGCTCTTGACAGCCAAGCCCATTTTCTATATTTTTGTTATTTCTTTTCTTATTTTTTTTCTTTAGTTATTATTTATTAGTTTCAAAAAATCTTTTTTTCTTAATAATAATAAAATCAAAAAAATAAATAAATAAATTTAAATTTTTTTCCAAATTATTTTAATTAATTAATTACTTTAATTTTTTATATTATCAACTTAAAATCAATTAGACTTAGGTTCACTTTAATTTAATTATTTTCTTAGATAAAAAATGCATAAAAATCTTAGAATTAGGTTAATCTCATTTCAAATTTATTTTCTTAAATTAAGTTTAGACTTAGCTTATCTATTTTTAATAAATAAAAACAAAACCAAAAAAAGATTTTCTTGTTTACTTAGAGCTTTTCTTAGGGTTTTTTTAGGCATATAATTTTATCTCGCGCGCGTTATTTCACTTCTCGCATTTTATACAAATAATGTAATTGATTATGGGATGTAATAGGCTAGGTTTAAAATTATGCTTTTTTTTTATTTCTTGCACTTTTCTTATGTAAATGTCCCAAGGTCTTGTAATAGTTAGGGTTTTAATTTCTTGCACTTTACTTTCCGCAATTATAAACTGCCTAGATGTATGGATAATAGGATTAAATGGTAAGATAAATCAATTTAAAATAGTAGAAAACCCTAAATGCGCAAGATAAATGAGACTGAAATCAAACACTTGCACATGCTCACTCCTAGGGTTTTGTCTCACTTGGTTGCCTCGGAAATAATGGTCATGTCCCTCGAACATAGGGATATCTTAGCAATGACCCGCGATTCAAAAGTCGTCATAAAGATCATAGTCCCTCCTTGTCCCTAGAGTTGCCTACGAGAAATGATGACAGTCCCTTCGAATGCTAAGATATCTTTACATGTTGCCTTCGATGACCATAGCGTCCCTTTTGATAGTCCCTCAACATCTAATGATAGGTCTACCTACTCACTAATAGTAGGATAACACTGTCTAAAGGAAACGAGAAAATGAACAGTCTTTTTCGAGTAGGTAGAAACTCTTAAGTACTTGCTCAAAACAATAAAAACTCTTTTTTACAAACACTTTCAAAACAGTTTTCAAAAACAACTTCGTCACACTCTTGAGGACAATTACAAGTGTTATCACGAAGTTAAAAAAAAACTTTTCAAAACACACACATGCAATTTCAAAATGAGCAAGTACCTAAGAGCCCGTGGAAAAACACAGATAGAAAGGGTGCTAACACCTTCCATTTCTATAATCTACTCCCCGTACTCAGAAACATCTCGAAAAAAGGTTTTTTCTGTTCTTTTTCCTTTTCCTTTGTTGGATGAAATAAAAGTTGGTGGCGACTCTTTCTTACTGCAACATTTGCAAACAAAAAACACAAACCAGTATTAACAGTCGGTTCTTCCACCGTATCACAGAACTGGCAACTCTATTGGGGATTTAATAAGTGGGTAAACCTTAGGATCTAGGTCACTTCTAAAATTGCTTGCTTTTTGTTGTACCCCAAAATTTGCCCTCGTATTTTTCCACAAGAAATCACAACCTCGGGC